TTTGCATTATATATATATATAAAATAAAATAAAAAATTATTTTAAAAAAAGTTACTTAAAAAAATAAAATTAAATTAAAACCAATTTTGAAAATAGTTACTTAAAAAAATAAAATAAAATAAAAACTTATTTAAAAAAACATTCCTTCAAAAAATAAAATAAAATAAAAACTTATTTAAAAAATATTTTTAAAATAAAACAAAAACTTATTTCAAAATAAAATTTTTTAAAATTTAAAAAAAAATCTTTTTTTTAAAAAATTATTTTATATATATATAATACAAAGTTATCATTTTACCTTTTTTAAAATTAGTGAAAATAGTGAAAAAAAATATGGTGTCCAAGGTGAAGCGTTACATGAAATTGAGTGGCCATGATGAAATAAAATCAAATTGGGTGACTGATGATACTAAATATAAAGTGGGATGACCACGATGACACAAGTATAAAGTTGGGTGGCAATTGACGGATTTAACATGTTGGAATAGTATTTTTTTGAAAAATGTGTAGTTAATAAAGAAGAAAAAATTTTGAAATTATGTGTAATATTATTTTATTAAAAAATGTGTAGTTGATAAGAATAAAGAGAAAAAGAATTATAATTTTAATAGGGCCAAACAGGGATTAAATTTTAGGAACTACTTCTTTAGTTCAACCAATTATGACCTAATTAAACTTAAATTTGGATTAAACTTTTTGGTCTATAGGGGTCGAATTCAAGAAGAAAAAAGAGAAAAAATTATTTAAAAAAATATTTTCCTGATCTTTTCTTGGTCCTTCCAGTCTATCATTTAACTTTTGATTTAAATAAATGTTGCACAAGGTTGAATGTTGGAAGCATAAAATTTTTGAAACCAAAAGCTGAAATTTCATGGATTAAAAGCTGGAAGTTCGTTACTCGACTTAAATCAAGAACTTTTAGATGAATTGGTACTTACTTGAATCAACAAAAGAGGGCAGCCAATGATCCATCCAGAACCAGGTACATCGTGCAGAAATTCTTCCATAAACGGACATGGCGGCAATATGTTATCCCCAAGCTGCTCAAGCCTGATATATGCATCAGCCTCTACGAACAAAACACCTTCGCCATTGCAATCAACCATAAGTTTTCTGTTGTTTCCTTCCATAATCCTCCCAGCAAAGGGATAGTAATAAATCAGTGTTTTCGCAAGTCCTTCTCGAATGACTTCAACTGGATTTATCCCTTTCATTGAAGGATTGTTTTTATAGAAAAACACTATCGGAACTTGAAACCGTAAACCTTCTTGATCATCTATATCGGAGAGTTTCTTTATTTCACGTGGTGTAGGCTTCGCCGGCACCACCAATTCAGGCTTACACCGTTTCACTGAAAAAGCAAAGGTGGAAGAAAATGCCATGGCAAATACAGTTTTTTATTTAGAGAATGCAAGGAAGAATAAGGCTTATTAGCTTTGATAGTTTGAGGGCATTGAATATCAATTTATATTGCGAAATGCATTATTTCCTTTCATAGAGGGCATTTTCATGATTTAATACAGGTGGGGTCGTGGGGCTATTGATAGAGACTACACAGTCTAGAAAAATACACGTTTTTAGTAACTTTCTCATTTTTTGTCTCATTTTCTGCCTGCTTGAGGAAGTAGATATACCATCATTGCTTGAAGACAAAACGTTAGATATAAAAATGCTTATACAAAAAGATGGAAAGAAAATAGATTTCGAGTCAATCAAAAGATGACGCATGTTAAAACCTGCCAGTGTCGCTTCTAGTTGAATAAGTCCCACATAATCCTTGAGTAATACACTTCACGTATTAAAATTGCTACTTCCATAGGAATTTGTCCACAAAGTCCACTAATAAAAAACTTATAGATGAAAATGAACAAATGGACGAAGTCATCAAATAGATAATCTGTTAAGACCAAATTATGTAATTGACAATTTTCTTAGTCAAAATCAAGTCTACTTGAATTGTATTAGGAATTTATCGAGTTTTAATCAAAGTCAAAATATGAGTTATATATTAAATCCTAATTGAAGTCAAAAGAGTTGGGGTTAGGAGTATAATCCTGGAAAGAGTCCAAAATGTCTAAGAAGATCACATATGATTAAGGAAATGCAATTAAAAGTTTCAAGAATGTCAAAGAGCCGCACACGTTATGTTCCAAATTCTCAATCGCAACTTGAAACACATTTTTCACATAGAAAACATTGAAATTTGGACAAGGTTACCTCTATAAGAATTGTATCCCTTTGAATTATCTTTTTAACGCATTTTGAATCACATCAATCTAGGGACGGCAACGGTACGGTTCGGGGTGGGTTCGGCCAAAACCATAACCGCACCACCAAATTTTTGGCCATACCATAACCACGTAAGTCGGTTTGGTTCGGCTCGATTTTTATCTCGGTTTGGTTCGATTAATAACCACAAAAATA